GTAAAATCCTAGTTCTAGGCATTATAATAAGTTTCAAACTAGTAGCCTCTGAAGTCCAAATAAGTTGCATAATAATGTCATGTATAGAACTAATAAAGTAATTATATTTTACAAATCCACCAAGCCACCAAATACAGAAATACTCATGGATTTATCATTTTCTTTTGAAGACGTACTTAAGAGTTATTTTTGTTTGTCATCCTCGAAAGTTATAATTTGCTTTTAAATCTTCATTTTCCAATAAAGTTACTCATTTATGATAATTTCAAGTTTCAATTAATAGAAATTGCTCTAAATAGGAGCAAAAACGTTTTGAAATTCCAAAATAGGAGTATCATGTTTTTTATTCCCTGAATATGAGTAATCTGCCAAGTTTGGCATTTCTAGACTTTAAAACATAACATTTTTTCCGAACATGATATTCCTATTTTGGAATTTCAAAACTTTTTCTCCTATTTAGGGAATTCTCCCTTCAATTAACCATATCAATCTTCAACTAAGTGTTTTAGTTTGCTGATGTTTTTCTTGATAAGTAGTTTGTTGAAGTTATAAATTGCTTTTAAATCTTTCATTTTTCAATGAAGTTACGGATATACGAAACTTGCAGGTTAGCCTTGTCAAACTTTAATTACACTCGTCCCGCCCCATAAAACTTTTTGTCCTAATAATCATATTATTTTCTCTTTAATTAATCAATTTTTGATTCCTATCATTTTTCCGCATTGATCAAATTTGAATGTCTTATTTTTATAAGAAATAATAATAAATATATGAGTAAATTAAAATAGAAGCAATGTTGGAGGTAATATATACTCCCTCCCTCCCATAATACTTAGCCAATGTTGACTTGCACGTAGATTAATAAAGTAAAACTATGTGGTTGATATTGGTGCAGAGGAGAGAGAAATAACTTTAGCCACATATTTGTTACTTTAAATGGAAATGACAAAGTATTTTGGGATGGCCAAAAAAGGAAAGTTGGCCAAGTATTATGGGACGGAGGTAGTAACTCGTAACTCAAATAAAAAGTAATTTGGTAAAACAATGTGTAAAATCAAATACAATAATTAATACTCCCTCCGTCCCGTTGGAATGTTCCCGGTTTGACCTACACAAATATTAAGGAAATAAACTTACCAGGGGGTAAATTTTACCGTTTTGACACTGTTTGACACTGTTTCGACACTGTTTGACACTGTTTTGCAATGTTTGACCCTGTTTTGATGTAGGATAACTTTCCATTTAGGAAAATGAGAACTTTCCAACGGGACATCCAAAAAAGGAAAGCGGGAACATTCCAACGGGACGGAGGGAGTACTAGTATAACGTTTTAAGCCAAATCACAATTCCTATATATATATAATGTCATTGCATATTTGAGTTTCAATTATTCTAATGTTCCATTTAATGTCAAAATTTTTAAAATTTATGTCCCAAATAATCTTTTTTCCTAGATCCGCCACCGTAATGACAATTTTCATTTGTAATCGATATTTCTTGGGTTTAAATGAATTTAATTACTCTGATCTACTATCTACTATGGATGCGTATGTTGGTTGATTAGTTGGTTTGTCAAGTGACCAAACTAATTTGAATTTTTTTCATTTTGTACTTAATATCAATTGTTCAATATATTTGTAGTTGAGTTTCTAAATACGAAAATTTAATTATTATATGTAAATTTTTATTATTAATACTATATAAAATATATAGTATGTCACAAATAAAATATATAGTATGTCACTTATTAGTTTCATCACCACTTTATACTTTGAAATGTTATCTCTCTCTTAACAACGAACACTTATTAGTTTTATCACTTATAGTATGTCACTTTATTATGAGTTCAATTATTTAAGCGCTTTTATAATAAAATTCTTAAACACAGAGTAGTAAAATTTCATTCACGCATCGCGCGGGTGAGAATCTAGTTCGTTTTAAAAACCATTCAGTGGCATGGTCCCTAGCGGTTCTTCCGCTTAGGGTTTTTTGTTCCTGCGCAGTCTTCCAGATTGCTTTTGTCCGATCAGTTTTTTGTATTGCGGCAATCTTCCAGATTGTTTTTTATCCGGTGGGTCGTCTGAGGTTTGCTTCACGTCCCTGGCGAGGGATTGGCTGATAGAAGGAGGGCTGCTACGCGGGACAGAGGTGGCTTCAAGCAGAGAGTGAGATAGGGTGCTCCGGTGAGAAGAGGTGGAATCCAACCGCGCGCTCTGCACCTGGTACTCTGTGGGATTGGTTTTGATAGTTCGAGGCACAGTGGGCGGAGGGAGAAGTTTATCAGTAGAAAGTGGGGGTTGGTGGACGTGAATTCTGACCATTCCGATGATAGGAATGTGGAGGATGTTCGCTTTCAGACTGGTTGTGTTCGTGCAATATTTTGGCCAAGAGATTGAGGCAACTCACAGACAAATCATGATGATGAAGGAAGAAGATGAAGTGATGTGGAGGATTTGCCCCCTCCTGAACTGGTGCCATGGAGGAATTGTGAGACTATGAATTGGAACACGACTCTTGAAGAGTGGATTCTGCTGCTCCATCAGTTATCTTGTTTAATTTCATTTTTTTCACTTTTAGTTTGTTAGTTATGAACTATGTTGCTATCGTTTTTGTTTTTTTGTTATAGTTCATGGTGCTAGGTTTATTACGACGTCTGAGGATTAAGCTACATTTGATATAGTTAGAGGGGGACGAATATATTTGTTCAGCAGTAACTACATTAAGCCCGTTTGATGGTTAACGATTCGTATTGTTCCTTCAAGGTGATCGTCTCTATGTTTAATCGTAGGGTTAATAGTAGTAGTTGAAAAGTGAAGGTTGTAGTCAGTTTTGGTCACTTTAAAACTGATGTAACGATCTTGATTCCAACGATATCAATATAGACGATTTCCTTTCAAAAAAACAGCTCTTAAATGAAAAATGACAATTAATTTGATCATTTATGTAACAAATGCATGACCGAGATGAATACACTTTTATCTGTACATGATTCACTTTATCTTATAAATATTTCATATTAAAATTTTACATATTTACAATTTTGTCACCATGTATATTGGTCACAATTAGTTCTTCTTTCTAATTCAATTCATCCATTTCAAGTGATTAAACGTCTAAGACTTATTTCCTTCAACGACAAAAACGTCTAAGACTTATTCTTATTTTTCACAAAAGACTGCCTTTTACTTCTACTTAATTACCTACATATATACTCCATAATCCATATATATTAGGGGCTGGTTAAAATAAAAAAGGGCCTTAACGTATAAAATGTTAAAATTTCATTCATATAGTGCACTTTTACAAATTTGTAAAAAAAAATCTACTTATTTACAAAAATGTCATTTTTTCCAATGCTTAACGTACATTTTTACCAATGCTTAAAGTGCAGGCGTGCAGCAACTCTTTATAAAGTGTGCCTTTTGTACGTGCATTTTACACTTTTGCATGTTAAAAAATGTCCTTTATTTAAAAAAAATTCATAAAAATATAAAATTTATTACAAATTACATACAATTATAAAAATTAAAATTATTGTCCAAAATTTGACTTGGTCAAGAAAAATCAATATGACAAATCTTTTTGGAACGAAGGTAGTACTGAGTAAATTTCTAGTGTAACGCTATGTTCTCTGATTAATATGTCATTGAATGAATCTTCAAAGTTGGAACCAATTCAACAAGTTATTGATCCACCTACCTGGCTACCTGTTGGTCTAATCGCTAAGTAGACAAAACTTTCTCCTTTATTACCGGCTAAAAATTATGTTCAAATTCAGTTTGTCCGTAGGACTAAAACAGTTTGAAAATTCTAAAATAGGACTGTCATGTTTTTTATTCCCAAAATATGACTAATTACTGTCATGTTTAGAAAATACTGTCATGTTTAAAGTCTGGTACTGCCAAAACATAGCAATAATTAGTCCTATTTTGGGAATAAAAACATGACAACCCTATTTTGAAATTTTCAAACTGTTTTACTCCTATTTCAGCTAATATTCTCTTTCTAAAATGATAATAGAAATAAACTAATGACATTTATATTAATTATAAGTCCTTTATTTTACTAAATCAACTATCACAAAATAAATTTCAACTTCCACATTAACACATTTTTAAACAAAATGCAAAATAAAATAAAAGCAATTAGGGTAGTGTGTAATTATATAACTTAAGTGAAAATATTTGAATATAGTGGGATTTTTAGTTTTCTATAATCAAAATGGTAATAAAATCTAGTAAAAAATTCCAATGAATTACTACGTATGTTTTAATACCAAATGAGATGTTTAATTGAATCGTATTTACAGCTTCAGCATTTTCAATGCAAAAATGTGAACAATAATGCATGTGGTATGAAAGATGTGTTCCATCATCCAATCGATTCGTCATGTTCAAATTAACTAAGGATGAGTTAAATGTATGTTCACCCCTCGCCCATACCCAAACTAGGGATGGACCCGGGCCGGGTCTGGGCGGGCTTTTTTTGCAAATCCTTGGGCCCGGAACCGGCCCGGGTTGATACCGGGTCCGGGCCTAACCGGGCCAGGCCCGGTTCAATGTCTATTTTTTTTTTTGCTTTCTTGTTATCCCAGACCCCCCCCCTCACCCCCACCCCCAAACCTCCCCAAAACACCCAGCCCTACCCTAGGAAAAGAAAAAAAAATTGAAAAAAAAAGTGACCCGGGCCCGGCCCGAACCGCCCAGGCCGGTTCGCCCAAAACTGGGCCCGACCCCGGCCCGCCCGACCCACCCAAACGGGCTAAAAACCGGAACCGGCCAACTGGTCCTGGTCCGGTCCGGGCCCGCACAGTAGCGGGCCGGGCCGGTTCCGGGCCAGCCCGGCCCGGTTTAGTCCATCCCTAACCCAAACAAGTCCATCTAATTCATTTGTCATATTCAAATTTTCATTCACATGTTCCAATCGGGTTTTATAAATATCCATGTATACGAGTATAATTGTCATCACTAGTTGAGCATTTGCTTAGATGTTAAACAAAGGGGAAAGCTAGAAAGGTAGTGGTTTATACTCTCTCAGTTTTGACAATTATCATATAGTTTTGATGATGATCCTTATAATAAGTCTCGGAACATTCAAAATACATATTTTAGCACATTGATGTGTGCCCCTACACACATATATATAAACATGAGGAGAGAACACAGGGAAAATGTAAGAGGAAATGTAAGCTTACATGAAGAAGAAAATTGATAGGAATAAGTTCATAAGAAACAGAAGAATAGGCCGCATCCAGTGACACAATAGAGAAAACAATAATAAGATTGGAAGGAAAGTATGAGGAGGCAGGCACTCTTCAGTGATCATCGTTATTTCTTGAGAGCTTGAAGGAAACCTCAGCGCATGCTTCATCCAACTCGAAGGAAAGCTCCTTCATGAAAGGAGTATTTGTCCCGTGAGTGATTCTTAAAATATCCATTGCCTTAGTCAGCGACTTCAATGCTTCCTCTGACTCTCCAAGCAACCTAAAAAGCACACCCAGAGAGGAGGAAACAAATGTGTTAATCATTTTCATCAACTAATAAGACCAAGATTATAATTATGAAGACAGTTGTCCGATGTTTATTCGTATTTTGTATTTATAATAGCAAACCTAAAATAAGACAACTTCATTACTTCATATATCCTGCAAGATAGTGGCTCATTGAGCAGACTAATCTTAAAATCATGTGCTCTTTTTGGTTCTTAATCCAATCAATTGTTCATCTGATGTGTGCATCGACTTTGATATCATATAGACTTTTGTAATTCTATAAGAGTAAACATCATCGAGAAGTAGCTCAAGACCTTCCTTGTAAGTTACTATTATGCATTTGACAGTTTAACAAAATTGACAAAAGCAGAATATAGGAGAATAGTTTCTCTATAGAACATATCTTTGGCACTTTCTGGGAAATTGAGGATAATATACTTTCCCTCAGTATTCTATTCGAGATTATTAGCTTTGATACTATATTACAATTTAGGATTTCATTATAAAAGGTGAATCTAATAGGATTATAGGAGTAGTTCAAGACCTTGTATGTAACTTAGTTTTTAGGAAATTCTCTAAATAGGAGTGAAACAAAACATAATTTCTCAAATATGACTGTATTGTTTTCTTCTCTATACAGGACTCATTCACTCGTGTTTTGAGAAGTTTTTATTGTTCCTTCTTTGGAAAGAAAATATACTTAAACTTATTTTACAATTTTGTCCGTGTTTTAGTCCTATTTTGAGTAATTTTTTAGATTTTTTGTATTCGATTGGTAATGAATAGTTTAAAAAACAAAACAGCCTAGCAGACTATCTCAAGCCTATTTTCTCTGAACAACAACATATTCCTGCCACTTTCTGGAAAACAAAGGATAATATACTTCCCATCAATAATCTGCTGGTACGTCCTACTACTTTGTGCGAACATTTTCTCTACAGAATGATTCAATAGTATGTCCAGGAGTAGAGTAATCAAATAATGATAAGGTAGGGATGGAAAGTCTCTGACCATTCAAGTTTCCCACATGTATAATGTTGGAGCCCAAGCAAAGGATGACGTCCTAGATATACTCCTGCAGAAAGCAACAATATATTTACAATATGCTGAGACACCAGTAAGAGAATAACAGATAAGAACTTTACATGTAACTTCACGTGGTTCATTTAAAAAATGATCAGCAAAGCAATATTAAAAGGTCAATAGGAGCATAGACAGTAGTCAGCACTAGGTCCAGGTCCTGGATTTTTTCATTTTAGGTTTGGGTCAGGTCCGGGAAGGCAGGTCTGGGAAAGGCCAACTCTTGTCCATAAAAAATATTGCCATTGTCTACATATTTCAAATGTATAATCATTACATATCTCTTTATTACTCCCTCCGTCCCGAAATAATTGTCCTGCTTTCCTTTTCGGTCTGTCACGAAATAATTGTCTTGTTTCCTCTTTTGGCAATAATGAGTGGCTCATATCAATTCACTTTTTTACTCAAATCTGTTTACTCAAATCTCAACCACAACTTTTACCTTTTCAACCACTTCCTTAAAACTTGTGCTAAAGCAAACAAGACAATTATTTCGGGACGGAGGGAGTATCAATCATAACCATAATTCAAGATTTATAAGGTTATATAATTAATCAGATAATTTGTTATATTTTATGAAGTGAATTCCGGTGTTTTCATTCTGGCTCGATTCTTAATTTCCTTGACTCCCATGAAATGTCAAACAAGTATGGTTGGGGCTGAGTTTTACACCCAACCCACCCAGAACCACATTCACATGGCACTTCATAATTTTTACAGTTTACTGCTGGTCATGGTCAGTTATTGGGTTCCAGAGAGAGTTATTCAGCACAAGGCCGCACACCAATATACTCATGGAAAAGTATTGGACAAAATGTGGCTCAGTAACTTTTAGCGACTATAAGTCACTAAAAGTTACTAAGTCACATTCTTGTCCACCACCTTTCTATTAGTAACATTTTAGGAAAAATCTCAATAATAGTCTTTTACTTATTCAGCAATGTTATTTTCCAGCGGCTCCCACCTCTCACTTCAGCTAGAAATAACACCATTTGTTGGGTTTGAAAGGGTCACTAACATTCTACCTAAGCCCTAATACTATTCATTGAAAGCAGAGACACTCCCCCCCATAACCACCCCCTAGGTCCTTCATTGTACACTTTTTTCTTTCAGTGTCATTAGTCAGTTACTTGGCACCAGCAATATCCAATTAATATGACACTTCTCTTCACCTCAATTTTATTTCATCAACTGTTTGCAGGATCTTTCATGCTTTTGGACTGACAAAACCATAATAAGAATGAATATGATTCCTTTAGATGATATCATGTATCATATTGATAGAACCAAAGAGGCATTAGACTACATGGAGAATACATATCAATGGAAGAAACCATTTTTTCTATAACAGATAGATAATAGATTGAACTCCCTTTATATTTTTCTTTGTATATTAACCATAAGCATTAAGCAGTAAGCCGGTAACTAAATACATTTCATTCGGGAAACAATAAGCTATTAATAAGAATGAATATGATTCCTTTAGATGATATCATGTATCATATTGATAGAACTAAAGAGGAATTAGACTACATGGAGAATACTTATCAATGGAAGACCCATTTTTTCTATAACAGATAGATAATAGATTGAACTCCCTTTATATTTTTCTTTGTACATTAACCTTAAGCAGTAAGCCAGTAACTAAATACATTTCATTCGGGCAACAGTAAGCTATAGTGTCATACTCTGATAAACTGGAATAGTCAATCTGCAATACACCAAGGCTGCCTTCCAATCTTGCAACTCCATGCATATCTGAGAATCAATAAAGTTCATTCATTGTCTTTACAAAAAGTCAAAAACGATAAGTAAACGGAAATAGGTAGAAAAAGGATATGCAGGGAAAGGGTCCATAAACAAAAACAATTCTGGTCTGGAGTTGAATAAAAATGATAAAAGGAAAAGGCAACATAGATCGATGGTTGCATAATTTTTCACAATAAGAAAGGAATAGCTATTGAGAAAATGTTGAACTGAAGGGAAATTACCCTAAATAGGACTGGGAATTTCCCCTGAACTAAATTTAACAGAAACTGTTATATGGTATATTTCCAATTTCTGAACAAATACAGTATGAGAAAATAATATAAAACAATATAAAAAAGTTGCACCTTGAGGTGTGCCTCGGGTATTTTGGCAGACCTTTACACCTTGAGGTTATACGCAATGAAGATGATATAATTTCAGTTAACTGTTTAGATTTAAAAACTAATTGTACTTTTCTGGTATGTTGTCGATATTACTGGATAGCCCTACACAACTTCTCCTCTATCTCTTCACATTTGAGATGATGATGGTTTCCTCCATGACGATGAAAGAATGAAGTTGATCCGACAACAATGAATATGCTAGTAGTTTTTATCCCAATTTCATGCCACTAAATACGGACGACCCTGTTTTTCACTCCAGAATTTAATGAACTCCAAAAAATTGGATTAGGAATTTTTTTATATTATGTGATGCTAGAAATTACTATTTGATAGTGTTACGATATCATTGCAGTTCTATTTGACTATAAAACTTCTCTGAGTATTAAAGAATGATCCACATTTTATTGCTTCCTATGTCCCATAATTTACTTCTCGCTTTCTTCTTTTCAGATGTCCCAAAAAATTTTCTCATTTGCTTCCAGGAAAGATTTGTGTGGTTTATATTTTTTTATATCCTTTTATTCCATCAAAAGTACAGTTTTATTTTCTTAATTGGGAAAAGGTACAAATATACCCCCGTAGTATGGGTGTGGGAACAAATATACCCATGTTCTATTTTTCGGGATAAATATACCCCTGAAGTATATGTTGAAGTGCATATATACCCCTGAACTTTTAAAAGGTGCAAAAATACCCCTCATGTTCTTATAAAGGAGCAAATTTACCCTTATTAACTTTAAATAGATAAAAATAAATTTCAAAAACATCAAAAATAAAATTTTTTTGTAATGTAAAATATATATATTATTTTTTTGCATTCTATGCACTATAATATCACATATATTTGTTTGATGATAAATAGTCCAAGATTACAAAAAAGTGAATTTAATTTTATTAAGGTTAAACAAAATCAAAGCATGTTATTTTAAAAAATTTAACAATGTGTTCAAAATTTCACAACAAGACTAAAATTAAAATAATGAAATTAAAATAACGGAGGGACTAGAATAATAATGCAAGTGGTTGTTAATATTAAATGTTATTATTTTCTATACATTTTCAATAAAGTGAGGCTTACACTGTTGTGCAACAAGGCTTGCACAATTCTAAACCCAGTTCAAAACCAGACGGATAATAATCAGGAATATACCTTTAAAAGATTTTCTCGAGTCCGCATCAGATTGAGTGAAAAGGGATGATTAAGCTTCAATTCACGCTCCTCAATCATCTTATATAACCTAATAGCATCTTTCTGGTCTGATTTCCCATAAAAACTATTAGGGAAAACAAATGTAATCACCTAATTTAATTAATATAAGCAGTGCTAATGAGACAAAATGTTTAGCCCGTAGAGAATAGTATGACTATCTTTAAAAGTAGAACCAGTTTTTAGCTACAAACTGATCTAGATCCACGGTGGAGGATACTCCCAGATGAAGATGACAGTGAAGCTATGTCCAACAATGAATTGATATCACTCGCAATGCTCTTTATTTCTTCCTTCTCTCTAAGTAATCCACACTGCTGACAAATGAATCCTTTATCCTCTAGTACATATAGAAAACAAATGAGTTACAAACTATAAAAACTTCATGAACCAAAAAAGGCTCTATGCTTAATGCAGGTGACATACCAGCATCACAAAGTAGGAAACCTTTACACCCACTATCTTTACATCTATAGCCTTCCAGAACTGCAGTTTCTTGGATATCATCAGTTAGTCCCTACATAACATAACTAGCTGGGTTCAGCCAAACAGGAAGCCCAGGAAATTAGTATACAAATAGCTGGCATAAGCACAAGAATGAAGAAGACACCAATTTTATGCAGCGACTGCAGGTGCAGGAGAAGAAGTATTGTTCTTTGAGGACCTTTTGTCGAGTTGTAGTGCTTCCAGCAGTTTCTATGTAGCTTATACAGACCTTAAGGAAGACAAGGAGATAGGCCATTCAGACATACAATAAGAAGAAAAAAATGCAGTGTCAAGAGAATGACCAAGGACATACTTAATTCACCGTTTATTATACCGTTAGGTAAGTAATACGGGTAAAGTAAACAAGTTGAAGTTCCACACCCCCATGTATTCTTTGGCCGGTATTTAAACTTTTTTATATTGGCCATCTTGCTCTTACCTATTCTTTGCTCCTGAACTCCTTAATCGCAGCTTTGCGATAGAAATCGACGGAGAGTTCCTTCAGGGTTGAAAAAGGGCGATGAAGGCTTCTAGGGTTTTTACAATATACTAGTTAAGTTGAAGCTTATGTTTTACCTTTTACAATTAACATATATCTTAATCCTATTGAAGTAAACATATATTTGTGTTACTAAGCAAAGCATCATATTGAAGTAAACATGTGTTTACTGAAGACTTCTTATTAAGAAATAAGAATGGCTTGTTAACACGATGTTTAATAAGCACTGCTTATTAGCCTCCAAAGTAAACATGTCCCAAGTCATCTAAAATAAACTTGTGCCTCATTTTACCACTCAGCCTTGATAGAAAGGGAATACAATTGTGTCTTTGTGGATTGATGTGCTTTGCGCTGAAAATATGAAATGAAATAAAATACTTGAGAGGTAATTTGTTTGGATTAAACTACTATTTTTCTTAGTACATAATTCATGTCACTTGTGCTTGTATTTTTTTTCATTGTAATCCTAGTGAGAAACTGGTTTAGGGAACCAAGGCCCCCTTGCTTGAATGGATTGATAAATGTTTGAGAGAAAGATCATACCTAGGGAGCTATTGCAGAAATTCCCGCGGATGTGATGGAGGAAACAGAGGATATTATCGTATTAAACTCTGTCCCAAAATGAACTTCCCACTTAATTATTGTGCAGAAAAGAAATGGGAAGTTTTTTATGGGATAGAGGAAATATGAATTTGATTAGGAAGATGGAGAAGAAGCTGATCACGCAAGAAACAAAGAAGAAATGCTGGTCTTGAAATGAAAGAGTTATCTACTTACCCTCCAGCATTGACCCTATCAAAAACAAGGCAATGGCAAGAAGATGACTAAAAGAAATGACGGTTTAAGTGATATGATCACATAGATTCCAGCGACTCAGTATGTTGGTGCATAACTGCAAGCAAGATTATGGGAGCACCATTAGGAGAGGCGGCTATTACTAGAGATCATGCAACTAACCTGATTCTCTAGCCCAGAGGTCATGGAAGTTGGTGAGCATTCTGCATTGGATGTGTGGAGATACTAGAAAGGACCGCATGAGGAATGAGACAATCAAGCAAAGGGTGGGAGTAGCACCTATTGAAGATAAGATGCTAGGGAGTCTCGCTTGCGGTGGTTTGGTCATGACCGAGTGATACACCTCTCAGACGAGTTGAGATGTGTGGAGAAGAGGCAAGGAAGAGAGGGAGAGGAAGGCCCAAACAGACGTGGATTAGAGGAGTCAGAAGTGATGTGCTTCTTCTTGGATTGGATGAGGGTATGACTTTGGAGAGAGCAAAGTGGAGGGCGGTATTCATGTGGAGGAGTGATCACTTATCATCTTCTCTCCCTCATCTTCTTTTTCTTTCTTGTTTTTTATCCTTTTATAGATATATATGTGTGTGTGTTCTTTTTATCTTTTTTATTCTAACATTTTTATGTATATCCATCTCTTTTTATATTATCTTTTTATCATAGCTTATCTTTTTATCTTTCTTATCATTCTTTTCCTTTTGGTTACAATATCATGTATCGATTCATGTTAGATGACCCCAAAATCTTTTGGGACTAGGGCTTGGATGTTGTTGTTGTTGTTGTACTAACATCTTTTCACCCCAACATGTATCCATTTATTACACATTTATCTGATAATAAACCTTGGTTGAAATACTAAAAACTAATAGTAAAAGATTACCTCCCTGCTACCACCACTACCACTGAAGCAAAAACCTAGACTGCCACAAGCTCTTCTTTATGTTCATGTCTGAACTATAACACAAAGCACTACCGGGCATCTTTATCACTGGTTTACTACCCTACTTTTCTAGGTAAATTTAGCATCAAGGAGTTAATTTTATTTCTTGATTTAGATACATGTTTCCTGTTGGCTTTTCTAATGTGGATTCATAAAATTATGTATTTATGTATCCAAGTGTGAACTACTGATAACTTCTCTGATTACATTTTAGGGTGAAAGTTATAAATCACGACTAATTTTAGAAACTGAACCCATTGTCAGCAGCCCCCCTCCCCACACGTACAGTTTCCAATAAGCCCACAGCTATTTCCACTCGACTATTGACAGAAACCTCACAAACAATCATGTACAATACACAGATCACAATAACATATGTGTATATGATTAAAGGTTACACAACTATTACCTCAGTACCTTTCTTTATATGTTGTACAGCACGTACCACTGCACATCGTCCCTCAAACACTAAACAGGAATTTGGCAAACAACTATGATATGAAAGCTTAATTAGAAGAAAATAAGTGGGCAGGTAAAAATCCAAAATAGACTAGCCTACTACAGAGATTATTGGGGAAATGACTATGGTATATTAAAGCTTGATTAGAAAATAATAAGTGGGCATGAAAAGTACACTTGCATGCTTTATAGAACTTACCTGTGATTGATTATAGAAATTACAGGATAGAGCCCAGTACCAAGGGGTTTCAGTTCACTGTCACAGATTGTATGTGCATTGCACGCAAGCTGCATGTCAATAACATCAGCAGGATTTATTAGAGTAAGTATGTCAAAGCATTACAAATGGGCAGAACTACTGGGAAGAGTAGGGGGAGCAATGGAGTGAAATTTAATATATTTAAAGTTTTAAACAAAGCTGGTGCCCGAGGTAGCAAGCATCAGGAAAGAAAACTGACATTTGTTGATTAGGCCATCTAATTACGGGGTGTTAGGTAAGAAACATAAAGTTACGATTAAATAAACTGGAAATTGCCGGCAGCTATTGGCCAGTAACTGATATGTCACAATGTGAACTGTCACGAACCATATTGTGGACCAAAACATTATGAAGAGAGCCATGTCATAATGGAGAGTGAAAGATAAAATGGACAAAAGCCATTAAATAACCTATATGAAATAGAATTTAGAAGGCTGTCCAGTTTCAATACCTTACAGAAGTTTTCTGCAATCTCTTTTATATTGATGTCAGTCCGTTGGAGAATCAAACTTACAAGGTTTGCCATTTGTGCATACAACACTAGTTGCTTCTCATCAATATCAGGCATGTCTTCAAAAGTGAATATGTTTGGATAAAAACAATTTCTCTTATATCAATATAATAAAGGTGATACATATAGACACACACACACGTACAAGGATACGAGAGACCAAAGCTTCCACCAATGTGTAGTTATCCATAGCAGTAGCTGGAACATTCTGTCAACAAGAAAATAATATTAGAGGTTTTGCAATCTCCAATACGGCCTACTTGCACTCTAATCTAGAGCAACTATTATAATTTATACAAGACTTTGTGAAATGGACTATGAATCCCCATCTGCAATAAGGAAGTAGTGTGAAGTTAATAGAAGAATAGAATAAATTTTTGCACAATGATTTGTAAAGAAAAACAATTCCATGAATTAAATATGTGTCCCATACTCTACCTCTGTTTACACTGTTCTGAGCTAGATCTCTCTGCCCATCTCTTTTAAGTTACTCCTAGCAGTCTAGCACCAATTGATTATCCAATAAATGTCCATAAAGGATTTACGCTGATTAAATAGGGATTTTGTTAAGAAAAATTTTGATTGAGAAGTGTGAACTCAGCTGAAGATTCTAAACCAAAAGAGCTATCGGAAAATAAAAACAATTCATAAACATAAAAACTGAATTAAAACAGCACATTTGGAGCACAGCTTCAAGACCGTAAAGTGCTTATTTCTCTAATTTCAAATAAAGTGTGCTGAACCTATATAACATAGACCCTGTTCCCATTTGGGGTGGTTTCAGTTTTCAGGTTTTTCTTTTTTTAAAGACAAAACCGAAATTTTGGAAACCAAGAAAAAGTGGTTTCAATTTCGGTGAACCAGCACTTAAATTCCAATGAAACATTGTGTTGAGCTTTATGCCAAACTCTAGAGAACAAGGGTTTCAGGCTGAGTCAAATCAAGGCCGAGTATATAGAGAGCAAGTATAGTGGAAGTAGAGATGACGTTAACAGTGGGATTACCTTAGATGGTAAGGAGACCGCGGGTGGTGAATCCGGTGATATGTTCTGCTACCTAAGCTCTAATGCTCTATAATTCAAAACAACTAGATGATACGGTACTTCTTGGCTTAGATGAGGGTATAACTTTGAGTGAAAAGTGGAATGAAATTATACGTGTGGAGGATTGATCTGTTTTTGTTTGTCTCCCTTTTCTCTTTTTATTTTTTTAACTCCGATTTCATATGTCGATTCATGTTGGCCGACCTAAAACTCTTTTGGAACTAAGGTTTGGGTGCTGTGACTGTTGTTGTTTGAAACATCATGCTGAATTGCTGAGAGATATTTGTAATAACTCCTGCTGTCAGAAATGTATCAGACTTGATCTGCTATGAAGATTATGCCTATAAAAGAATCTTCACATTTTGCAGCTACCATAGAACTATGTGTGCTTAGGGACAACACTACCACAGGGTAGAAAGACACATTGACAACATGAATACCATACACGAATTCTTATGAATAAAACAGCACTAGCAAAAAAAAAGCATTCTAGAGTACCTACATTACCACTTTGCAGTTTTCTCCTCAAATAAAGTTTAACCATCAATCTTAATGTTGGTGCAAGGGATTTTATCTTATCCCTCTCAACTTTCAGTAGTACTTGGCATTCAAGTCGATGCAGCTTCCAATCTGACTTCTGAAAACCAACTATGTTAAAACTTACAAGTTTATTTGCGTACATATATGTTAAAAACTTAGAATTCCCACATTACTATTTGTGATGGAATGAACCATCTTATAAGGTTTGTACCATCCCTCAACTTTTGAAAGAAAGGTAGGCCAGTCTATTTTTTCTACATGGTATCAAAGTCTATCTAACTATAGAAACGGAATTGATATGCGGACCAAACCTGGCTGGGGCCAATTCCAGGTTTGATACAAAAAAAATTATGAGTTGCTTTTTATTAAAAACACATACTCCCTCTGTTTCGTATCGGACGTCTCAATAGAGGATTCACGTATTGCACATTTTATAAAAGGGGCAAGCATTATGAGTTGTTTTTCATTAAAAACATGTACTCCCTCAGTATTGCACATTTTATAAAAGTGGGGCAAGCATTATGAAAATTGAGGGAGTATTGTTGAACTTTTTCCTCAGCCCACCCCAAATTCATAAGAATTGAAGTCCTTGCTATGCCACAGTAGGCCACCATCCTCCTTTGAGGTACTTTTAGGCGTAAAGGGTGTGTTAGAATATCCATTTGCACTCTTAAAAGCTTCCTAGTGATTTGCAGCAACAACAAAATTATTTGTTCGCATGATGATAAGAATTACTTGTATACCTGGCAAGTGGCGCCACAATAATACACAATTTGACAAGCAGAACACTTCTTGACATTAGCAGATGCAAAACACCATTCGCATTTTGGCAATGGTTCAGTCTTGGTTTTCGTGGGAACCGAAACATAAGGCTCTTGGCTGATGATTACTTCACCTGATAAGACAAAAAGGGTTAAACTCAACCAGAACATGTGCGAGTAATACAAAAAAATCGCTTTTTAAATTTGTTTTTTCAAAGATTTCAGTGAGAGATATGAAAGAACAGAGGGACCTGGAGAAAAATCTCGAGTAGTAAAAATGCAGCGACCCTTTTGTGGATGAGTTGAAACTGATAAGCCTTTTTCACTTAACGCTTTCTGCAACCGTTCTTCCATGTGTGTATTTTACAGAACAAGCGAAATCAACCTCTACGAATTTGTGTGAATTCAACCCAGATTTCTAAAAGCCTCTCTGAGACCCCTCTGGGTTTCTAGGAGCTTTTAGCTCAGTTCCAGGCTCTGATTGTTGGAGCCAAAAAAACATGCCTAACCAGTTTTCTATTTTATTGTAATTTAGTCCTAATTATTTTTGCTTATACTCTCTCCATCCCCAAAAAAAAACTTTCTACTTCCCTTTTTGGAGTACAGTTTTTTACAGAGTAGTTTTTAGTAACTAAAAAATACTCCGTATAATAACCTGTATAATATGTAATTATCCTCAAACTAATGAATCTGTGGTTTTAATATTTATTTTATCTAGTCTATATTAATATAGCCATCTCAATTTTGTTTACATTATATTGAAATTAGGTGGAAAATATTATCATGTGTTAAACTGTTAGCTATCTGGATACCAACTTATACTTAGATCATTGATATCATGTGTAAAAAATGTAAGAAAGAAATCAAAGATTTTTGAAGAGAAACTCATTTGCAAAATAATCATGGTTTTAAAAAATGCAAATCACCCACAATCGTTAATTAACTCATAATCATGGTAAATCACTTAAAAGCAAGTTTTCTATCACCACACTACCTCTTCCACCTTTAGCTCAATATCCTCTTCTTCCAGATCCTCTCCCTCCTATTGATCCTCTTCCTACTCTAATGACTCTCCCACTATTGTCGATCATGTTGGTTGAGCCGTGACAGAATGATGGCTATGTGGTTCACTTGTTGGTGTTGGTGTAGCATTGTGGGGAGCTTTTCCATTATTTCTTGGCTGGCCCCTGTGTTTTCTAGGAGTAGATTCCTGAACTACAATGGCAAAACAAAAATGATATTTGTACACACTCTTATACACATTTTTGTACACACTTATGTCTGCGAAAACTTTTTTTTGTCTGTGAACATCGATTCACAGACAATGTTTTGCACAAACAAAATAATGTCTGTGAACCGGATTCACAGACAAAAAAAGCTTCACAAACATGACGTGTATAAAGTGTGTACAAGGGTGTGTAATCACAAGAATGGTTGATGGCTAAATTGTCTATATTTTGACACGTTTGGTTATTGACCTTTAGTGTGACGAGTGCTACATGTCATTTTCATACCATGCTTGATCAACTTATCAGGTTTTTGGGGTCTTCAAATGGGGTCTTTTTATGTGAGGCCCAATTTTAATTGGGGGTACGAGAGATAGTTTATTCTCAACCAATGCCTCTCACATTCACAAGGAGATAGAGCCTATAAATATATCCTCAAATACAGCTCCCCCTTATAACATCATTCTATATGCTAGGCATGATAACACGGTATACATGACAAATCTCACATTTTACATGTGCATGTCCTGATTGAAGTTATAGAGTTATTGAATTATTCTTGAAATTGAAGGAAAAATCGAATGGTACTAGTCTTGAAATTAAAATCAAGTTTTGTGGGAAACTTGGTACATCAAAAGTCTTTTCCAAAGTTAAAACAAGGGAAATTATTGTTAGTCCCCTGAGGTCATATCATAATTATTAATGTAACCTTGCATTTTCAAAAATCAATTAGTTACCCCCTCTGTTTTTTTCATTCTCATTATATACCCCCTCACCAGGGGCGGACCCAGGAAAGTCATTTTGGGGGGGCGAAAATATTTTTGGGGGGGTTCAAAATACTTTTTGGAAGAGCAAAAATCATTTTTCGTATATATATACACTAAAAGGCGGGTTAGGAAAGCTCGTAGGCTTTTAGGAAAGCTACGTACGACACTCAAGCAAGAATTAGGAAAGTACGAATATAGAAAGTTAGCCAGAAATAGCATATACAAATTGATCCCCCTAATCTGAATTACAATCCGCCTTTTATAGGCGTATACAAATCGTAACCGTAACCGATAATAACGACTGATTAATTACAACATTAATACGGAATTAAATACATAATTAATAGCGCATTAATTGCTTGATCGTTACTCTTCCAGGCTGGGAGGTCGGCCGGGCTGGCAGGCTCCTCGCTGAGCTGGCAGGCAGGCTCCAGGGTGTGGACTTGGATCCATGGGTCCAAGTTCGGGGCTTGGGTTGATTAGGCTCTCGGCCTAGTCCCATTACTCCATCAGGTACTATTAAAATCATTTGATAAAGAGAGATCAGACTAATGTAACTATTGATAATAATAACATAAATTAAAACCCAATAAACGTATGTATAACAATGCATATTGGGTATGTCACTAGTAATAATAATAGCTCCTAAACTATATCATATAAATACACATACGTTACATATATACATGGGTGGATACATAATACATACATAGAACTAGGTCCAGAGCCTAATCAGCCCAAACCCTGAACTTGGACCCGTGGATCCAAGTCCACAACCTAGAGCTTGTCTGCCAACCCAGAGGGGAGCCTGCCAGTCCGACCGACCTCCCAGCCCGGAAGAGTAACGGTCAAGCAATTAATGCGGTATTAATTATGTATTTAATTCTGTATTAATGTTGTAATTAATTAGTCATTATTATCGGTAACGGTTACGATTTGTATACGCCTATAAAAGGCGGGTTGTAATTCAGATTAGGGGGGACAAATTCTATATGCTATTTCTGGCTAACTTTCCATATTCGTACTTTCCTAATTCCTGCTTGAGTGTCGTACGTAGCTTTCCTAAAAGCCTACGAGCGTCCTATTTTGGACCAACATTGGTGCTTTCATTGAGAGCTTGATCAATAATCAAGTTAGATCCTCCCGGAAAATACAGAAATTCATCACAAAAACAAAAGAAATACATCGAAACAGTTCGGGAAATCACAATTTCGAAATTTCGGATCTGGATTGCAAAAAAAAAGAGGAAAAATTTATGGAATTTTCAAGATCTACACAGGAGATGCCATTGCTGGCCACCCTCGAGCAGTGTGCTACAGTAGAAATATTTCACTGGGCTCACCTACCCGCTCTCGGATCTCGCCGCCGCAGAGTTGCTGCCAGGCGCCGTGATATGAAGCTCGTCGCCGCTGGCCTGGAAGGTTCAGATCTGAAACTTTAACTGAACCTGCACTGTAGTCGTCGTCCTGGCCGCCGCCAAGCACAGAAGCACCTACCGCTGCCCCAGATCTCACCGAGCCAGCGACGTCCTCCTAGGCCAGCATGAGGGTCATCTTCGCTCCGCAGCTCCCAGGCCGGCATCTCCACTGCGTGTAGGTTGGACTCCACCAGGTCAGCACCATCATTTTCAGGTGGGGGCGTCACTTCAAGGTCGGAAATATGGAGTTTTCTTGCAGGTAGGAGAAGTCTGGCACCCTTGCAAGCCGACGAATCCAGGTCGGGGGTTCGCCCTGAGGTCGGCGGCTGAATCCCCAGATCTAGTGGTGTAGCTTGGCGACAAAACTCTTGGGCCGGTGATGTAAATTTGACGGTGCTTCGGGCGACGTGAGCCTCCAGGCCGCACTAACGGCCGTCCTCCGATGGCAGACGACCCATCCGATGGAATTGGCGGCAGCCGACTTCCTTTCCTACTGCGACGACGGTTGTTCTCCGCCTTTGTGATGTCCAAAGGACCTCCGCTCCAGACCTCTCTCACCACTTCTCCCTGATCCTCAGCTGCCTCCGTTCTTCACCAATGTACCAGGGTGGGGTTCTAATCCGCTAGCCGCCAGTCTCCGTTAGGGGGGGAGATCCAGTCTCAGCTCCGGGTCACTCCAGCCCCACAGGGACGGTACCAAGGCGCGACCCGGTTCGGGACCCATGGTGCTCCTCCCCTGAATCAAAATGGTGGCGTTGCATTCCCTTTGAACGAGGACAGATACGCAACTCCTGAGCTCCAAAAATTAGATCCGAAACCATCTGCTCACAGAGGAAAAGGCCACTGAAAGTGACAGTCGGCCAAATTCTTTGCCTCTTTGGAACTAGGTCAATTGTGTTGACCAACTCTGGGTCTTAGAGCTCAAAGCTTCCTCCCAAACACAACCTGACCGAGCATAATCAGTCGAAGAAGCTAAGTGCTCATTTCTCATTTTTATTATTATTATAAAAGACCTTACAAAAAATCATAAATTGAAACATTTGAAAAGATATTTTAAGTGGTGTAATTGCTTTAACTCTTGTTGAGCGTGTGTAATTTTAACATTGAAAAATGGACTTATGAAATCCGATCACTCACGTACACCGGACGAGCACACACACTCGTACAATGGCCGAGCACACACACTCGCGCCACCGGGTCATGTCATATGGGTGTGGCGATGAATAAGCTCCAATCTAAATGTTAATACCTCACACTCTTGACTTCTTACGGGTTCTTGTGTGCTCTTACCTCTTCCTAGTGCATCACACTCCGACCTCGGGGGACGAGTCACCCGTTCAAAAGTCTTTACTTGCGGGTTCGAACTACTAACCTCGGGCGGCGAGTTAAACTCTTGTTAGTGGCCTAGAGCCACGCTTTTCCGAGCAATTTTGTCACTTAATTGACGTTCACATTTCTCGAAAAGGTTGATATACTTTAGTTCTTTGGGGTTGGATTATCCGTTCGAGTGAGGAGTCCGCCTCATTTACTCACGGATTCAATCTTTCTTTCGGAGACTGGGTTGAGGCCTAACTTGGGAACTTGATGTCACTCTTTTCAAATAGTGAGTCCGACTCACTTACATACTGAGCCGTGGTTCGACACCAAGCCAGATGCTCTATTCTACACTAGTTTCTTTTATGTGTAGGTACAACTGAATGAAGTGGGGACTGAGGGTCTTATCGTCTTCAAGGAAGCAAATGACGAACTTGACGAGTCTGAGTCCGACGAGAAGAACAGTTCTAGCCATCCTATTCGCAGATGGCGACTATTGCAATAAAGGCTAAGGATCTCACCTCTTGCTTCATCTTGGGGGCGTCAGATGTACTCTTTTTCCCTTCATTAGGATTTTTTCCCATTGGGTTTTTTCCTAATGAAGGTTTTTAATGAGGCATCTCCCCAACATGGATAAGGGCGGGGATCTTCTAGTCTCGGAGAAGAGCAACCGACTTGGACTACTCCCTCTTAGCCGAGTCTACTACTCGACTAAGGGAGTGGGGGACTCGTGATGGAGTAATGGGACTAGGCCGAGAGCCTAATCAACCCAAGCCCCGAACTTG